CACCTTCCCTTTGTAACTTTGCACGCCTGTTACATCGGCCCGCGGAAGTGGTTCGTTAACGTGGAACATTATCGTGTACGGCCCTGCAGGTATTACACGTAAAATTAGGATCTTCCTCGAGGTCGCAGGCAACTATGTTTACGGTATTTTCACTTTGCCATAGAAATAAACGTGCTCCAGCGTAGCTGAATACTCGTCGCGCCCGCAACTCACTTTCAAAGGGCTCGTGCGTCACCACCCACAAGCTGCAAGAAATTGTAAAGCATTTCGAGATACGCCTGCGAAAGGAAACACGCGTCGTGCATACTTAATATCGCCGACACCATATCCCACGAGAAAATGTAAAGTTCGTTACTAGCGACATCTCACGCGTATCGGTTGGCTACGCTTTCCGAGCGGCGACAGTAGATACGAAAATTCCTCCTCGCCCGTAGGAATTCCCCCGGCAATAAAATGTCCCACGGACGCCAATAAAATTGAAGGGACGCTACCTTTGCTCTCGAATTCAGCGCTGACGTCTTCGGCGATCGCCCGCCGATCCACAAGCATCAGTAGACACGTGACAAAGAGAGAAGATCCCAGGGTGGACAGCATCGCGAGCTTCTTCGGGAATTGTCCTTGCCAGGTCGGGAGCAGCCTATCCCAGGGCGCGAGTCCTTCGATCCCTCCAGATTCTTCGATCGGTGGACATTCTCAAGGACGTCTCGACGCTGCTGCGACGCACGTGCCGAATTTCTCCAGAAGGACTACGAGAATATTCTTTGGCCACGCGCGAACCAACTTTGTCCTTCGGACTAACCGAAGACACTCCGAGCGTTCACGGCGCCGTTCCCAGGTGCCATATCGACATCCTCGTTGGCTACCTTTGTCTCTGTTATGACTTTTATGAGCTTCGGAAAGAATAGGCAGACACAGTCTGAAGCATCGGCAGCTTCTTCAGTGTTATCTACAGGCGCATTCGGGCGCATTCGGGCGAACCTGCCGAACGTGTCCTCTCGTGCTCTCCTTCCTTTCCCCGTTCCCTCCGCTTCTCCTCTCTGGTCGCGACCACAAGCGTCACGTAGAGCCGAGACACATGTGCTGGTTATTAGAGGCCAGCGAGCTGCCAGCTAGTTTGAGCTTCCTAGGCGGGCGGGAGGTTTAAAAAAATCTTTTGATTACCAAACAAGCCGACCTTTTTATGGGTGGCTCCTACCTCCCCCCCTGGCCCAGTATATAGGTACACCGCTTCTTCACTTTTCCTTCTCCTCTTTGAGTCCCAATGAGCCTTTCTACGTCTTGCCTTCGTTCCCTTCTTTATCTTCCGAGAAGACTCCCAGCCTCCCCTCTTCCCCTCCTCCGACGCGCTGCTCAGCGGCTCTTCATCTGGTCCAGGCTGCGACTTCCTCTTGGAATAATTGCCCGGTGCGTGACTCTTGCTGCTCCTGACGCGAGTCGAATAGCAAATCAAGCGAACTGTAATTAGTTATCTAAATAATTTCTTGTTCATCACCAATCAATCCAATCTCCGTCGATTTCGTTTTATGGACTCGCAAAAATCATTGGACGATAAATCAATTTTTATCGAGGGTGAAATTTTTTGTACACGTCGCACTAAATCCTTAATCTTCCTCAGATCGGCATACAGTCATCGGCTTACACATATGGGTACATATAAATACTCCTCCAATGGGTTGTCAGGTGGTGGATTATCGACTGGATAAAATTCAATTCAAATCCCATGCGTCATCTAGTATTAGTCTTCTACTATTGCAAACGAATCCCCCTGTAACGATCTGATCCGATCAATCCGATCAATCCGATCAAAATGGATAAGCTTTCTCCAATGGTCTGTATCAAGTTCGATCAAGATAACGAACACGATACCCGCCCTACATTTTTAACACCGCTAATTAACACTTAAACGCGATATTTTAAAATACCCGCACAAATTTAAGTTACCCACATTCTCATATCACACGAGCTTATCACCAACTTATTGAATCCAAAAACGAATAATTAAGTGCACCGTACAATTAAGTAAACGTCTCTTAAATATTTCCACCAATCACGCATAATTCGCGTCAATCGGCCCGGAGTGAAGCGCGCGAGAAAATCGGATGTCAGGAGAAAAAAGAAACTCGATATTCCCCGATCGGTAATAATGATTATCGATTCGATGTTATTAGAGCGCAATAACACTTTCGTTCTCGCTTAGGACAGCCACGTCGAGGTTGTTGCACGCGTTGGCAGCGACTGCCAGTAAACTAAAACTAAAACCGAAGACATGTGTGTAGTCCCCACTGAAAGTTTCTCCTGTGGCACACGCACCGTACCACCGCACGCATGGACACACATCTACGAGGATCGAGACGCACATCGACGTGCAGTTGGGAAGAGGGAGAGTAGGGGGGGCGGGGAGGGGGGCTGGGAAGAAATGCTCGAAAATACATTCGGTCCACTATATGGTTCTCCGATACGTCTTCTCTCCTTCGTTGCGTTTATATATACATATATGTAACATATATATTTACACGATAAAAGATTCTCCCGTTTCCTAAGTTCTTTCCGTATCTCCGCTAATGCAGGTAGAAACACCCCCATTATCTAGGTGGCAGGGACGAACAGGATGAAAAGGATGAAAAGTTGATAGGCGAAGGCTGGTATTTAAAAAAGTATAGATTTATTACAGTACAAAGAAAATTTTTATGTACCGTTCACTTTCTAATAGCAGTTGACTATCGGGCGTACAGCCACCTTCATAAGTCATATTGAAATTGTAAGGTTTTGGAAGAGACTCCTAGAATAATATCGATCCGATGACTCGTAGAGAAAAATATAATTATACCCAGCATAACGTGTTTCAGGGGATCAATACTATTGGCTCTATTGGTTGTAACAAAATGCATTGAAAGAAATGAACGCGAGCAGCATCCCTGTCGCCTTCTCTGTGGATTTACCAGCGCCCACCCCCCACCCCGCCAACTTACGAACTCACGAACTATCCTCTCTTGACTTTTCCTCTAATAACTGCCCCACACTCTGGGACCCCCCTTGCCGACGTGCCCCGCTGGTGTTCCGTGGGGGGGGGTGGGGGGGGACAAAGGGAGCTGGTGGGGAGTATTTACAGATCCAGAGATCCAACTTGGATCCAGTAGTAGTTCCGTCTATTTCGAGAGTGAACTGACTTTTGCTCCTATCACGAGTACCGACTCTCCTTAACCTAGCCGAGTTGCGCCCACGTAGTCCCCCCCTTCGCCTCTCGCTACCCCTGTGCAGCATCACTGGTCCATAGCTAGTACTCTCCATATAGCCACCAAGGGTATGTAGCCGCAGTGACGGAATTCGCGTCGACCACGTGCTCCTTTCAGAAGACCTCAGGCTCGCGCGAGCCTGGACCAAAAAGAGGAGGAAACAAAGCGACAAGCAAAACTCTCGCTTAAGATGGTACAAGAGTAAAGGGCAGGAGAGGCTTCATCTTTTTATCTCACATTTGAACGACAGCATCTCTCCGCATCTTGCCGCTCGTACTGTACCGAATATCACGGGACTAGAATATATACTCGACGGCGCCTATGACGGCCTACCGATGCTCCTTGTGTAATCGCCGATACGATGGGCCTATTATACTTAAATACCTTCCTTCGTTCAGGCCCTCCTTATCCGGCCAACGTAAACGTGCGTATCTCTGTGGTATTTACAAAAAAGGCACGGTGCTCCCCACGTGGATCAGCCCCTTATCTTGTTTCTTCCTCCAGTGCTTTTTGCTCCTGATTATGTCCATGCACGCGTCCATCCGTGCAAGCAGATATATATATATATATATATATATATATATATATATATACACACCTTGGCCATACATAGTTCCACCGAAAGGTTATCACGCTGGCCGATCGTATAACAACGAACGACCCTCTTCCATATACATATTCATAGATTCACCAGAGTTCGCACGCCTCGCGTACCACTTTGTAACCGTATCTCCAGTGCGGGATAAAGCACCACCGGAAGTAGCACTGGTTTCGTTCAGATCGGAATAATGAATCTCTACACTGCATATTGTATACACGAGACGCAGATTGATACTTCAGAAATTGATTGACAAACAGAATGCATTGTGAATGCGAAGCATCCTAGGGGGGGGG